CTGCTTCAAATGAGACTGATATATCGGGGATCAACTTTGATTGGTACTTTGGATTTGATATTTCTGTTGCAACTATTAGTAATTATCTAAAAGATATAACTGAAAAAATCACTGGATCTTTGGCTTTTATCATTGAAATTGAGACAGAATTTATTGTTGCCTCAAGTTATCCAGAGATTCCCGTGACCAAATGGGATGATAAAGGAAATCAAGAAAGAAAGAAGGCTATCAATTTTGGAGTACCAGAAGTTGAGCAAGTTGGTCTATTCCTCTATGAAAGATATCAGAAAAAGTTGGATTCATTAAGTTGTGGAACTTTTGAGTTTTTATCATTTCAGGATAGATATGTTAATGTGTATAGAATGTGCAATCAAGCCAACATTAATTGGTAAGTATCCTGTAAATATTAATTACTGACCGGTGGAAAAGGTTATTTGTATTCTCAGTTCCTCAATGGAACTATCTAGGAACCATGATTATCGCCATAATTGCAGCTCTTTCTTCATCTATTGTAATTGTCATTGTTGGTCTCTTATTTGGGGTATATTCCTCCTTCAAGATTGTAAAGCCGTTCCATAATTTAATAGATTTATTTGCAAGTGTTTCAAACATGGATTTGGATAATATCATTGTTCTTCCATCTCCTTTCAGAGAAGTTCATCAATTACAATTACACTTCAAAACTATGGTTGTTAAGATTAAACAATATCGATGCTTTATTCCTCCTCACTTACTAGCTCAAATTGATGCCGAAGGAGCTGGTGATGAAAATGATAGGGATTTTGAAAAACCTTCCATTAGAGCCGCCAAGGATCACAATACAACACAATCTTCTCTGAGAAGTGGGAAATCTTCGAGACATTCTGGAATTTCACGTTCAGGAAATGCAACATCAAATTATCATTCAACCTCCAACCAATCATCATTCCGTCCCGTCTCCAAATCACTTTTCAAATTGGGGCTTGAAAAGAAGAAGATTACAGTGGCCAACTTTTATTTTGTGGGATTGGACTATTGTATGGAAAATTTATCAGACTCAGAGCTTGTAACAGTAATGTCAGATTATTTCGAAGTCATTCAAAAAGTTGCCAAACTCACTCTAGGACAATTGGGTTCTTTTGAGGATAATTCAATGACCATCAGCTGGAATTCAACATCAGAAGTTTCCAATCATGAAGAGAAGGGTGTTGCCTCCTCTCATCAAATCCTCCTTAAACTTTCACAATTGAAAGAAACTAAATGGAAAAAGAAGGAACATTTAGTTAAGAAAGATTTATTACAAAACGTTGATTTTAGAGCTTCAATTTTAACACAAGTTTGTAGATGTGGTAATTTAGGTATGTTTAATTGATTGAAATTTAGTCTAATTTACATTATTAGGTACGCAAGAAATTAAAACCTACTCAATTGTTGGAAGTTATCTTCACAATTTACACAAGATTATGAAACATGGTTTGAAGTTGAATGTCAAATTGATTGCTTCTGAGGAAACTTTGTTTAAATCGAATGATACTCACCAACATAGATTGGTGGGAGTGAAGAAGGTTCTTTCTCCAGATGAAACAAGCGCAGAATTCTTCTCTGACTCTCAAAAGGTAAATAAGAGAAAGATTAAATTATTTGAGATTGGAGAAACTAATCAAGTCAATGAGGATGGTAAGTTTATTTTACAATTTCTTTGAAATTTTTAAACGAACACAATCAGAGTGGATGTATGAATTACAACAACATAAATCAAAGGAAAAATGGAAACTCTACAATGAAGCCTGTCTATTAATGGAAGAGGAAAAGTATGAAGATGCCATTACTAGTTTCGAATCCTACTTGTTATCATATAGAGCAGAAACCAATGAAGATATATGTGCTTGTTATATGATTAAGAAATGTTACAAATTGCTGCAAAACAAAGCTAACCAAAACAATTGATTCAAATTCAACTCTTCAATTTCAATTTCAAAGTTTACTTGCAGCGACAGATATCAATGACAACAATTTAACACCAGATTCTAAATAAGAAATAACATAAAAAAATATTAAAATTGATTAAATCATCACTTCAAAACCATCTTCAATGACACAGAAAAAACAAAAACAGAAGAAGGCAAAGAAGGAGAAGGAACTTTGGGGAGATGATGTTTCTCCCATGCCAACCACCATGAAGGATTACTTTGCACAATTATCACAAGATTGTTCCGAACAGGAGGCAACCATTCTTGATCATGAACCTGTACAACACTGTAAGAAGGAACGAAATCCTCCGAGTGAAAAGAAGAAGGAAAAGAAAAAGAATGCCCAGCCAGCATCTTCTTCAGTTGCCGCCACTTCTTCGGACGTTGTGGATAATGATGAGAATAATGAAACTGATCGTGGAAAAACGCAAGAATCTAAAAAGAAGAAACAAATGTCGAATAGTGATTATTTGGAATTATTGGAATCTTCTCTTGATGATGAAGAGAAGATGATTTATTCGAATTCATCAAGGATTACAACAACTGCAGCAATGACATCATATATCTATGCAACACCATATAAAGTACTACCACCAGTACAGCCACCCAAAAGAATTGAGCTACCTCCAACCTTTGACAAGATTGAAGATCTTCTTAAGGAACTCAGTTTAACCTTTGAATATTTCAAAGTTCAGGATAATTCAACAAGCAAAACAATATATTTGGAAAAATTAGTCCACATGACAGATTCTCTCTCTAAAAAGTGTTTTCAGAAGGCAGATAAGAATGCTATTTTCATGCTAGGAGGGTTGAATTTTGTATGTGTATTGTTTGCATATTTTGCCTCTGGAGAGAATGAAAATGAACAATATGAAAAGATTATCAATTCACTTTCCTATGTTCTGTATAGATTTTCAGATCACAATAGAGCTAGAAGTGCCATGTTGACAACTGGTGTATTCTATTCTCTGTGGTATGTTGGAGGGTTGAGTAAGAATATTTCTACACTTTCACATGTGAACGAAGTGATTGACTTGTTGGGAGGTCAATTATCTATTGGATTCGAGTTGAGTAATCTATTGACCAAATCAAATAGCCAACTATTGGATATTTCTTACATTTCAACAGAAAAGACTGTTGATTCTTCATCACAAACAATCTATTCAGATGGTTTCACTTTCCCAGATACATTTTTGGGCGTTGGAACAGATTTTGTATCATTATCGGAGAATAACTTTCCAATCCAATTACATTATTCGATTATCATTTCTAGAACTAGTAATTTCCTCTCTGATTTTTGTGTCAAGTGGGATCCAACAACGGGACAAGTTGTAGAGAATTCTAAAAACCCTGGCTTTTATCTAATGAAAGATAGTAACATTTCTTGGTATGCTCTTTTGAAATTCGTACAGTTATTGTACACTGACAAAATTTCTGTATGTAAAGAAGAAAGAGAAAGAGAGCTGAAGAATAGGAATTCAATTTTTGAATCCAAACTAGTGTCGGAGGGTTTTCCTCGCTTATTAACTACATTGAGAAATCAAAAAACTAGGGAAAATGCCATAAATTGTATGAGCACTTTAACATCTATGGAGGATCACGAGGAGTGTGATAATGGTGGACTATTTGATGAATTCGATAATGAGCTCGTCAATGATGAGTTGAATTACTTTTTTGGAAAGCCACTCAATTATTGGTATTTACCAAAACCAAAAGAGAATAACTTCTCAACTGATTTTTTGAGAAAAAAGGAGAAAATTAGACAACAAGCAATTTTATTGAGTGGATTGGAACAAGATCTGGGATCTTTATATGTGGAAATGATTAGCAGTCAGACATTTAAAGCCGAGGAAGCTAAAGCTCTGTCATTCTATCCAAATGTTAAGGTAATGCTCGCCGACACTCTCGGAGAAATAGACCACATTTTGGAAGAGCATATTAATTCAATTCCAGTTTTGAAGAATATTATTGATTGTAAAGGATTCTACCTTCACAAATCAATACTTGCAACAAGAAGTGAATTTATGAAAAAGCTAATGCAATACGATTTGGAACAAACAGAAAATGGCATGGATGTGGTCTATATCAACAACTTTTCCCTTTCAACTTTATTCACAGTTTTCCAATTCATGTATGGTGGATTGAGTGAAGAAGGTTTCCCACTCCTCTTCACTGAAAACTTAGTGGAATGCTTTTTAGCAGCTGACATGTTTCTTCTCTTTGGATTGAAAAAGTATGCAGAACAGAAAATATGTGAACAAATTACATTGGAAAGTGTACAGGATCTATACCACATTTCAATCATTTACAATTCTGACCTCATTAAGGATAAGTGCATTGAAATCATGTCCAAGAATAATATTATCTATGAGAGTGATATCAAAAAGTTAAAGTAACCTATCAATATCAACATTACCTTATGACCATTAGTGTGTAACCTTCAAAACAACCTCTCTAGAATTACCCAAACCTTGATCAAAAAAGCCCCGAATTGAAAACTCCGTTTGTGTTGGGTACTGTAATGTCATCAGACCACTAAGTACTTTAGAAAAAATTAAAACACACCTTTGCTGTTCAGTATCATCATTTATTTGAACAGCTAGCTTCATAATGTTGTCAGCCCTCTCACAAAATATTCTTTCTAGTAGTACTGGTTCAAATGGGAAAAGCCTTTCCGATGTGTTGAAGAATGATAGGGAATCACTGTTGAAGAATCCGATCCAACTTATTCAGCTAATTCATCACGAAATTGATCACATGGTTGAAAAATCAAGGAAAATTGAAGGAGAGTTGAGTACTCACTTTTTGAATAAGGATTCAAGCATGTTTGTTAAAAAGGAAGATGATGATAAGAATTCTTCATCACCAATTACAATGATTTCACAATTTGTGGAAAAGTTGAATGGTTCTGAGGGTGGAGTCTTGGCAAGCTTTCCAATTAATACTGAGCTTGTTGAAAAATTCAAAGGATCTTCTGATATATTACTGAAGGCCTTTGATACTATCAAGGATCATTTGGGAGATGGTTCACTTGTTTCAGGTGGGTGTATGTTTAGTATTGTTGCATGTTGTGTTGCTGCCATGTTGGAAGAAATTGAAAATAATGCAAAGGAAGAATGGCAGAAACTCTATTCAGAAGCAAAGGAAACTATTGATGAATTCAAACAAAAGATTTCATCTACACTAGTGGAAACTATTGCCAAGTTGAAGGAAATTGGAACTGAAACATTGAATGAAATCAAACGATCCATTCAAAAAGGTTGTGAGTTGGCCTCAAGTTTCCCTAAGGAAGTTAGAGAAGAAATTGAGAATATTGCAAAGAGACATTTGGAAGAGTTCAAGAATGTCACCAATCTCATGAAACACTTGAAGGAAAAGAACTTTTTAACAAATCAATTCGAACAATTCCATCAAGAGTTCAAGGCTCTTGTCACTAGTTTTGCCGACAGATTTATCAAGGAATTATTAGGAAATATTATTGGAACCATTGTCAAATTTTTTAAATCTATTGCTCAAGTCTTTAGAGGTTTGATTAAGGAATCTTTTGGAATTATTATTGAAATTGTGAAAAAGATCTTTGAATTTGTCAAGTCAGCCCCAGAGAGATTGAGAAAGATATTTGACTTTTCAGGAAATTGTATGGCCATGCTATGTTTATCTGCTCCACAGGAGATGATTGATAAGGCAGCCAATGAAGCAACCAATTTAATGAACATGATTCCAGTCGATAAGATTATTTCACCACTCGAAGAA